TTATGTTTACAGTCATAAGTAGTATATAATACCAGTCCAAAGTTCAATGTCTGTGAGCAGAAGGCTGAGAAGAATGAAATAAAGAGAGAAGAGAAGGAAACTGTTAACAATCAAGATGATAACATGAATGAACTATTAGTGAAGCTTGTAAGAGACAATTCAAACATGTATAAATAATGGAATTGATATATGATTTACACATTTAACTTAACCATTGTTTGGCCGTAGATTAAACATTAAGTTGATCTTCTCCATCGAGTCTCATTCACTTCATATATATATAAATATAAATATAAATATATATATATATATATATAATGCTGGAGTTTAAGAAATTCTTAGAGTACTGTTTTATTCAAGACTATCAATTGTTCAGTCGTTCCCAAAGACGACCTAGTTAAGAACAACACAAATCATTCACTTTATTACCATTTATTTTTATATGTCGTTTTTCCGTCTGTTTCAACGATTCAGTAGCATAAATAATTTAATCCAACATTACTTACTTACTCCTGTTACCCCTCTCAGAGGACATAGGCCACTCACTAGCACTCTCCATGCAACCCTGTATTGGACACTTCATTCCAGTTGCTATTCATTCTTTACATGTCTGCTTCCAATTATCAAAGAAATGTGTACCATAGTCTTCCTCCTTTCCATTTCCTTTCACGGTTTCAAGTTAGCATTTGCCTCATAATGCAGTCTGGTAATTCGCTCAATGTATATCTGATCAACCTCCAACGTATTTTCCTAATTTCCTCTTCATTTGGTAGCTGGTTTGTTCTTTCCCATAGTAGACTGTTGCTGATAGTATCTGGACAACGGACATTGAGTATGTTGTGTAGACAACTGTTTATGAATACTTGTACTATTTTGTTGATGGTTGTAGTAGTTCTTTAATTTTGATCTCCGTGTAGTAGAACTGTGTTGAACTTCGTATTGAAGATTGAAACTTTGATATTGGTTGACAATTGTTTTGAGTTTCATATGTTCTTCAACTGTATGAATGCTACCTATGCTCCGTCTGTATCACTTCCAGGTTTACTGTCGATCCCAATACCGCAAAAACAAGGAAGGTTGTGTGTGGGGTCAACCACTCCACCCCGTAGAAAACAACCTTGCTAAAAAGAACATTAACCAAAATCCAAAATTATTGAATTTATAAAATTCAATGAATAATGATGTCTTATAATATATCGGATCAACAGAATATGTAATATTCTGTTTTATCACAGACTTACTTTACTCATATTTTTATTATTAAGAGGATTAATGAAATGACCTGAAAGTTTTTTTTTTAATGAGGACATTCATCTGATTCAAATGATATTTTAATGAATATACAATTCATTATAGATGTTTTAGTTAATCTAGCACGACTGATTGAATACATGTGAACAAGCATCTAATGTCCATTAGAGTTCTAGAATTTTCATTAACATCAATTCTAAACTAACACATAGGATATAAAAAAAATTTAATTTCATAGGCAGTATATGAAAAAAAGATTAAAAAAACTCCTTAATTCATACAAAGATGGATAGTGGCTAGCAGTAAAATCCAAGACACGCGTTTCATCCTATTTGGGACTCGTCAGCATGATGTATCTGCTTTTCAGAGTTAATGTTCACTCTGGTACTCGAACCCAGTACCATTGGCTTTAAAGGCCATAGTTTTATCCACTTAGCTTCTAAATTCTGATAACGACTTGTTTGTCCAATGGCGGACAAGTTTTAAATTCACTTGTTGTTGTTTACTTGTATCTCCCCATTGTTAATTAGGACTGCGATTGAGAAGATACAAGTAAACAACACCAAGTGAACATTGTGACATATTTGATAAATAATAATAAAAATCATATTATAAGAAATGTTTCATTACTGGTTTATAAATATAATCATTTGCCACATGCTTGTGCAATAAGGTGAAATTTTAAATTCACTTCGTATTGTGCACACCAAATTTCCCTTTGTTATTTAGGACTGCAATTGATCAGTCTCTCATTGGCATATATGCATACAGTGCGTATTGCCTCGATATTGCCTTATTTCACATTAAGAAACAGATTAATTGGAGTTCTAAACATCAATGGGAAGATTCAAGTAAACAATACCAAGTCAATTCCCAATTTATACAGTTATTTCATGTAAGAATACACTGTCAAATCAACTTACACTATGTACAGATCTCCAATATCAGCTCAGTATAAAGTTCATACTATACAGTTACAAATTTTTGAGTGAAAACTCAACATATAATTCGTATGCTCTGAAATAATCTAACTGCCTAAATACTTAAATAAATTTCGATTAGTCTCAGTTCTCTTATTTGCATCCTGTGCCAAGGTAAACTTCAATTTTTAGATAAAAGTACATTGAACTAATGAAAGCCAAACATAACGACATTTATTTTAGTTTCTACTGAAAGTCACAATTCATCTCTACTGGAAAACTAAAATTGTTTCATTTCATTATTTGTTGTCAATTGAATGAGAATCACACCTACAATATTTCATTTATATGAGAAGCAGTAAACAATGGAGTTCAACCAGGTATGTCAGGAGATATCAACTCACTAAAGACATTGGTGAATAGCTTCTCAATTTCGTGGATTGGTTGAACTTAGACATTAACACCGTTGGATACCGACTCAGTGGTCTATCGGTTAAGGGCTCTGGCTCCAGACTTGTAGATCCTGGGTTCGAATCTCGCGTGTATGGATCGTGGATGCATACTGCTGAGGAGTCCTACAATAGGACGAAACGGCCATCCAGTGCTTCCAGGTTTTCTCTTATGGTCTAGCTTCAATTGACTCATGATTTCAACTATATAAGATTACTAAAATCTTCAAAAAACCCCTTCTGATTATGTAGAGTGAATCAATTTCCCATAACTTAATCAAGGAACTCTCCTCTCTCTCAAATCTATCACCACTAGGTTATCTGACCTGAATTTTCTATATGAAGTATTGATGAATAAAATAATTACATTAGTTTTATTCAGTGTAAATATATATAAACAATTTATTAGTTATATCACGAAACTATTCTGTCACCTCAAAAATCTATTCCTACGACATCATTTTTCCATTCAAACCAAAAAGGAACCTAAAGGTTTATATTATTATGATGAATTGAAATCTTTAAGGTGAAATAAATTTTTTTTCAAAATTATGCGGGAAAATAAAAAAAATGATGTTTTCTCTTTTTCCCTTGTAAAGTCATATTTGACATAAAACATCAATTCATTATTTGACAATTACAGAGCATAAAAAATAATTCTTCATTTAAACAATATGATCTAGAACATTGGCCGATTCACCAACATTATTTTCCTAGGTGAATGGAATGATATCCATAATAGAAGATTAAATAATAAATAACATTATTTGTAATGTATATGAGTTCGACTTTTGTTTTTTTTTATTTCAAAAGCGGTAGATTTTATTCATTCATTTTGACCTCTTGTGGTTTTTTTTTAAAACAATTATTTGTTACGAAAAAATTAAAATAAAAATTTCGATATGACAGACCTAATTCATCTATTCCTTGGTTCTTATAATGAATGAGCAGAAATGAAAAAAATGAAACAATAAATTTTAATAATTGACGTCATAAATCAATTGAAGCTATACCACCATGGAAAACCTGGATTCAATGAATAGTCATTTCGTCCTCAGAAGTGCGAAGTCAGGATCCCACCTCATGAGATTCGATCCCGGGACCTATCGGTCTCGCGCTCAAGCGCTTGACCTCTAGACCACTGAGTCGGCATCCAACAGTGTTATTGTCTAGCTTCGATCGATTCACGAAACTGAGCGACACATCCACCAATGTCTTCAATCTGTTACTATCTCACAATACACATGGTTGAACTTCACTGGTCACAGTTTCTCATTAGAACTCCGGGAAATACCTCTTGAAGCCAGTCATTAGTGAGCGAATGTTGATTAATATCAGGAGAGGTTTTGTGGATATTATAGTAATTTCAATAGCTGAGATCATGAATCAATTGAAGCTAGACCGTTACGGAAGCAGTAACCAGTGAAGTTCAACCATGTGTTAAATTGTTAAAAAGACTCGGAAATAGTATTGGTTAAAATCATCCTTCATATGTACAGTTTTTTGCTGGCCTACTATTGATTGGTTTCATGGGGAAAGATCATTGGAGAATAAATTAAATAATCCTAGTCAGTCAGTTACAACAAAAAACTTCGTACGTACGTACATCAGTTCGAGTTGCCATATCACATTAGCACACAGATGAAGTTGTCGATTCAAATCCCGTATTGGTAGAAGTAGTAAGAGTAAAAGTATTATGTGAAAGATAAGGGTTTGAAGATGTTATTGAAGGAGTGTAATTCAGTGAAACAAATTTGTAATCAGAAGAAGGATAGGTGCATGTGGAATTCAGAAGATTAGAATTTGGTAGTTGTTGAGAATGTATCTGTGTTGAATTATATTTTACTCACTTCAATCCAATGAATAAATGAAATTTCACTTCATTTTAAACAACATGAGACGACATTTATATTGTCCAGTCAGATGCAAATCGAAATTGATAGGATTTTTTTGACGATTGAAATAAATTTGCTTACAAGTATTAGGACAGAGTAATCAACAACATTAATTTCTGAATGTATTCTACTAATATAATATGATTCCCTATGGAGATCATAATTAAGAATGTTTATCGGTTACTTGATGATTTCCGAAAAGCCATTGATTACTAGTGTTCTGTATATTATATATAGATAACGAAGATCTAACTGAAATCTATGTTCGCTTATAGAGGTTTAGCTCCAACCGTAAATAAATTTAATAATGATTATTAATAAGGAAGGAAATTTAGAGTGAAAAATGTAGTCTGAAAGGTATTTAGCAAACTATTGATTTGTCAGTTGAGTATGAATAAAACAGAAGCCTATTTTATTTTCGTTATTGTTTACAAAAGATGTTACAAAAATGAATGTATTATATATAGTTCCCTTTTCATAATTAGGGTGAAAATCGTTCATCTGAATCTGATCAATCTCAACAATCCAACTGCTCAAAAACTAATCATGGTACTACTGATAATGTTACAAGTACAACTCGGAGTTTAAGTGAAGATGGTAAGTTCTTATCGAACTGTGTTATATATATATTGTCATTACATAATTACTTATCAGATTTTATCTTTTAAACCATTTGTGATAAATTAATTGTGCAGAACACTATTGCTTACCAGATTAAATTTTAATCAGGTGATTATATACAGTTGAGTGGTTACCGTAAATCCGGGTTACGAGCTATTTGACAATCATGATCAAGGCGTAACTGAAATCATAATGAAATAGATGCTCCCAGGTAAATTTGCTCCGGCACCGTAAAACGTCATCATTCGTGACGTTGCTGTTGAGTTATTTTAGCCACAATTGATCGCTTCCCTATTGATTGATCATTGAAGAGTGGCCTAATGATCTTTAGTCTTCTATGTGAACCCAATTAAGTTACAAATAATTTTTAATGTTCATTTATCAATTAGGTTCTTCGTAATTTCATTTTTATGCTTATATTGTAAATTTCTTATACTAATCCAATGAACAAAATGTTCAATAAGGACTTAAAAATTCGACTGATTGTAATACTGTAATACGTTTTTACACCTCTAGCATACCATTTTGCATCATAAGGTTAGCAATTCGTAGATCATTATTTTAAAAAGATCAGATTTTTATCTTTCAAACTCAATGATGAATGAAGAATAATATTTTCAATATATTCTCATCAGGTTCTAACTCTGAATTGTTGAACTAAGTGATCCTAAGTAATAACAAAGTGGATGGTAAATGACATCATTTGTAATTAGGTTTGAATTAAGAATTATCAATAAAATAGACAGAAATGTGAAGAGCATGACTATATAATGTTGACTTAAATAAATTTGTGATTCAGTTAGAATTTTTATATTTTTGACCAGCATAAGTCAGAAAAACTTTGAGAAATAATTACTTGATTACTACAATCACCATAAAACCCCTTCGGATAATAATCATCATGTGTCCAATAATAACTCGAATCAAGAGGTATTTCCTGGAGTTCTGGTGAGAAACTGTGAACAGTGGAGTTCAACCACGTCTGTTGTGAGATGGTAAACCACTGAAGACAATAATGGATGTATCGCTCAATTTCGTGGATTGGTTGAAGTTAGACATTATTACCGTTGGATGCCTGCTCAGTGGTCTAGTTTTTGAGCGCTCGCGCCCGAGACTGATAGGTCCTGGGTTGGAATATCGCGATGCAAGACCGTGGATGAGCACTGCTACGGAGTCTCATAATAGGACGAAACGGCCGTCCAGTTCTTCCAGATTTTCTTCTAGCTTCGGTCAACTTATGTTTTCAATCTTTAAAATAATAATCACATTACAAATCACATCAAATTTTTTAGTTGGAAACTACATAATTTACAAACCCATACTAATTAAGTAAGAAACAGGAAAATAAAGTATGTATCGACTGAATACTTCATTTATTTACGAAAAGTGTATAGTTATTACAAAGAAATGTGAATAATAATAATAACATTTAAATAGACGAGTTGTCTATGTGTGCACAAGTTAAATTAGGTACTGTTTAGTTAAAATGACCACTGATTACCAAACATGAAGTTTCTCGAGATTGGAGAAAAAGTTGAAAGTAATTCTTTGGTAAGCAAAGCTCTTGTTTGTTTTTTTATTTAGGACAATTAAGAATGACAGATTTTAGCGAACAATTATTAACATGTAAAACTACGGAAAATGAATAATTAATACCGATATTTTGATCAATTTCAATTTAATGGTCTATCATAAATCCGTTCACGGTATTAACTACACCATTAGTTTCTTATTTTCAAAAGTGTTCATAGTCATGAAAATGCAACATTTCAGAATAAATTACTTCCCATTCATGTTCAAATAGTTTAAGTTTTAGATGTTTAAATTAATTCTTGGCATGTCAGTAACATATTTAGAAGACTATGTTGATGATGCGGAATTAAGGAATGCTTAGCTTGGGATTTATAAGCATATCGTTCAGAGTGATACTATTTATTTATTTAAATACATTCTTCATTGGTTTACATTAAACAGTATCCAATTATGATTATTCAGAATACTATTCTTTTAATGAAATAGTATCGAGATATACAAAACTTTCATCGATGTGGAAAAAAAATAGCATTGGCAGGCGTTGGTTTGAAGTGTTTGTCAATAAATATAGATTTTACCATTCATAACTTTCTAGAAGTTGTGCTTTCTGCTCCCTAAATAATTGAACTGATAATATTTATAAAATCTGTAAACATGATGTGAATGACTCTATCAAGAGAGTATTACCAGTATATAAAGTATGATATAATTATACCAGTCGACTAATTAATAATAATTAATTACATGAAGACGTTACCAAGATATTAAACAAACAAATGGTTAAGGAGAGAAACAATGCAAATCATGAAATCCTTATTGAAGTGGGAATATTTAAAGCAAAATCCTAAAAGAATATTGATCTATCGCATGTGTACCAGTAGCTTACATAGAACTCGATTCCTTAAATCTTGGTTTCCTAGATATAACGATGTTATTAATGTATTTTGTCGCAATTCAATGGTTTTGGCTCAAGGTGTTCAATAAGCTACTTTATAACTTGTATGTAGAATATAGTCCATTCTTCCAGTCAGTCTGTAATAGTTGATCAACATTTTGAAAATCTGATAAAGTTTCTAAATATTCACTTACGATTTCCAGCTGATATTATTAATCAAATCTACCCTTAACCATGATACTGTTATTCAAGAAATAACTTCATACGAATTTTAAGAGTTAGTTTACAGTTTAATCTATTTCAACATGGGTCCTGCTTACATCATCCACAATGAAGTATTTTCCATTACATCTACAAACAATCATACAGAAGATAGTATCCAGATATATGAAGAAGTCAAAAATTATTCATCTCTATGTTTACTTCTTTTAAGACAGCTAGAAAAAACAACAGTAACATATGGATCATTGTGATTGAACTATACTTCTTAGTGTTCAAAGTTAAATGGCTTACATTAATTACAACTTGGTTCAAATTAGCATTAATATCAGACAACTAATCAGTATCTGAGTAGTTGACACAAAGTAGTTCTACAGAAGATAGATATTAACGACACTAACTATAGCCCTGAGTGATGTAATTTCAAATCTCATAAATATAATCACTTTCTTAAACAAAGCGGATACACTTGGGATTAATATTCAAATGATATCAGTCATATTTGTCCTGGAATTAGAAATTCGATAATAGTAAATAATTGTAATTATTATTATTACGACGTCTGGGGCGAATGGTAAAGGGTTCGAATCCTGGAAAAAACATCAACTCTGGAAAGCAGAAACATCCAGTCCCAAAATAGGACGAAACGCGCATCCTGGATTCCGCTGTTAGCCAACATCCAACCCCACTTATATTACTATTATTATTTAGCAATTATATTATAATAAACTTATTAGATTCCTGATTAAATAATAATTCTAACGTCGTTTACTCAAGATCAAATAAAAGTAGACTTTATGAAGACACACTGATTTCTTAAATAGTATATAATATTGGAAAGCATAGATGGATAGTGGCTAACAGTGGAGTCCAGGACGCGCGTTTCGTCCTATTTGGGACTCGTAAGATGGATGTACCTGCATCTCAGAGTTGATGTTCACTCTGGGACTCGAACCCAGTAAGCAAAGAGTGAACATCAACTCTGAGATGCAGGTACATCCAGCTGACGAGTCCCAAATAAGACGAAACGTGCGTCCTGGGTTCCACTGCTAGCCACTATCCATCTTGGTTTACCATGCTTGGCTATATCGAGGCTATACGCACAGTATGCACATATGCCAATTAGAGACCTACTAGTTGCAGTCCTAACACATCGATGGGAAGATTCAAACAAACAATACTAAATGAGTATATAATGTTGTTTCAAAAAGTGTAGTGCCAGATTGTTTCAACATACCATTTCAGAGAAACATAACAATTATCAGCATTGAAAAAATTAAACTAGTTTGTATCGTGTTTAAATAAGTAAAAATCATTGATCTTTCCAGAAACAAAATCGAGTAAATTCAGTTTAATATTTTTCAATCTTAAACACTTATTTTTTGTTTAAAATTTATTTCTCCAAAGCATGCTTCAGTAGAAAGAAAAAAACAAGAAAAATTATTGAAAATATTAATATTCACTTACTTACGCCTGTTACTTCCAATGGAGCAGAAGGTCGATGACCAGTATTTTCCAACTCACTCTGTCCTGGGCCTTCCTTTCTAGTTCTATCCAGTTTTTGTTCATTCTTCTCATGTCTGTCTCTATTTCTCGGCGTAATGTGTTCTTTAATCTTCTTTTTCTCCTTTGACCTTCAGGATTCCACATGAGTGCTTGCCTTGTGACGCAGTTGGGTGATTTCCTCGATGTGTACTCTATCCACTTACAGCAATTCCTGATTTCTTCCTCCTCTGCAATCTGGTTTGTTCTCTCCCACAGTAACTTGTTGCTGATAGTGTCTGGCCAACGGATCCGAAGTATCTTGAGTAGATAACTGTTAATAAACACTTGTATCTTTTGGATAATGGCTTTCGTAGTTCTCCAGGTTTCCGCGCCATACAGTAGAACTGTCTTTACAACTTTCTAAAAGTTCTGACTTTGGTTTTGGTTGAGAGTTTTTTTAATTTCCAGATGTTCTTCAGTTGTAGGTATGCTGCTCTTACTTTGCCAGTCCGCACCTTCACACCTGCATCAAATCCACCGTGTTTATTAATAATGCTGACCAGATATGTAAAGGTTTCCACATCATCCAAAGCTTTTCCGTCAAGTGTAATTTGATTGGTGCACGCTGTATTGTTTTGGAGAATCGTGCTTTTCCCTTTGTGTATATTGAAACCTACTGCTGCTGAGGCAGCTGCTGTTTCACCGGTCGTCTTCTCTTGCATTTGTTGTTGCGTGTGTAATAGAATAGCCAGATCATCTGCGAAGTCTAAATCGTCCAGCTGCATCCTACCTGTCCACTGTAGCCCATGCTTCATTATTCAATCGATCACCGGGGGAAAGAGAA